CAAGTGAAAAAATTATCAAAACTTTCGCAAACACCGAAGATATTTTCGATTAAGGGACAGATCTGAAATCATGAACTTGATGAATATATCAGATATTTGGGGAATAGTTTGTCTTTATCATATCAATTGACGCAACAAGTGAAGAACTTTCACGCATGCGTTAATGTTCACATTGTTCAGCATTTTGCGTTCAGTTCGTTCTTTCTTTTTCACTATTTTTCGTTAAAATCAACTAACGCTTTCTAATATTTTCTAATATTAATTTTTGTACTTTAACCATTGCTTTTATAATAAGCAGGAAATAATAATAAAAAAAAAAATAAATAATAATAATAATAAAGCGAGACTTAATTACAATGGCACATGCATACCTATATTACACACATACAGATCAATACATGCAAGTATATTAGAAATGCTAACTTTGTAACTAATTTTTTTTGAAAATAATTAACAAATCAATAGAAATAGTAAAACATACATACAAACGAAGCATATTTGATTTATTAAAATAATGAAATGAACATTTCACTGGCCCCCCCCCCCCCCTTCGTTCCCTATTATTATTCCCCCTACTAAAGAATAGGGGTTACACTCATTTTATCATAATGTTTGCAACGCTTAAAAGGATGCTTCAAATAATTTACGCTGTTTAAGACATAACCCAGACGTCCGGACGTCCGTGTATGGTGTGTGGCATTTGTTGTTGACACTCTCCTGAAGCTATCGACTTCAAATTTATTAAGTTATTAGTATTAAAAATGGACGAAATTGATCAAAGCACATCCAAGCAGTGAAGCGTAAAGTGAACGCAACTTTGTATTTTTAAAATAAAAAAAATTTCATAGGCTTTTCGTGGCCTCATTACACACGAATTATATAAGTTAGAAAGCTGAAATATTCCATACTTTACGAAGAACTCTTCTCTTTATATGCAAAAATGGTACAAATTGGCCATGCCCACAGCAACTTAAAAGCAATTAAATTTTCTATATATATAAATTTTCTATATATAATTATCGACCTACAAGTGCCTTAATTCTAAAATGAATATGATGGACAACACCACAATCTGATGGATTCATTTTTCTTAATAATGATATTGGTATCAAAGAAAAGGACTTGCAGAGTAGAATGCGACAAGGTAAGTGTATTAATTCTAAATTAATTCGAATGGATGTCACGATAAGGTGGATAAATGTTTTCTGAAAAATACCGCCCATATGGGTATCATATAAAAGAGCTTGGAGAGTATAATACGAGAAACTAGAAATATGTTAAAGTCAAATTAATTACGATAGACGTTGCGATAATGGTAGATTAATTTTTCTTATCAATGTCCTTGTAGTGAAATAAAAGATGCAAGATAAATTTAATCCTACTCATTTTTTTTTTTTTTTTTTGGGGGGGGCGTCAAAGATTTTAATGGTAATCAGTATGCGAGATTCGGTCGCAATCGTATATAACTTTCTTACCTATCTGTTTTAATTTCTAAAATGTCCAATTACGTCGTTCTTTATTGAATGCAATTCCTAATACATTCAAACGATGACATATACATATGCATTTACTATAGATATTAATCGCGGGAATGACTTCAAATCAAATTAATTACGATTCGTAGTTATGTTCGACATTCTATCGGCTATAGAAATTAATATGAGAAATTGAAATATTGTAAAAATATTTTAAATCGACCCCTTTCACCCCAAAAGTACAAAGGGCACCAAAAAGTCTACATAGGTAGAATGTTCAGAATTGTGCGCGAAATAATTTTTTTTTTTTTTTTTTTTTTTAATTACACAACAGACGTATTATTTGCACTTGCACCTCAACTAGACAATTTAAAAAACAAATAAGACAAATGAAAGCATTATAATAGCCGGTCTAGGATGACTATTAAATACCCTGCATTTTATTGTCTAACACAATTCCTATTTTTACCATAGCACATAAAAATTATACCCTTTTTTTATAGGAACATACTATTATGGGACTGTGTATTCAAAATTAGATCTCTCCGCAAATGAAGTCTGGCGTTCCATTGGAACGGCTGTGCGCAAGAAGTTCAAAAATTGTGGTAATTTTTATATCATATTTAATATCAAATTACTACTATGGGTTAATTTTTGTCATAACATAATAAAATTTTATACTTTTCTGCCTTATAAACGATCAATTTCCTTACATAAGATAGGATCCAAAAAAAATAGGCCGAAATGATTCAAATTTGGTACACACTTTGGTTAACTATTATGATGTAATTTCCATTACGAAACATTTAAAATCATACGTTTTTGTCGTATGAACTTTAGTTTTCCGTAAAATGAGAGGAGATTCAAAAAGTATTCCATCTGGTCCAAAGTTTTCACATCAATTTAGAATGACGAAATCGTACTATTTAGCTACTTTTAAAGATTTTTCAAAATTGGGCGTTATATGAGGGATAGTCGAAAAAGTGTACCCTTCCGAACCATTTTCAATAGCGTCCGTCACCGTACCAAATTTCATCAAAATGTCATAAAAAAACTGCAACCTGTAGCTTGAACATAAATTTACAGAAGGGGCTTAGATCAATTCAGATTACGATTCTGAATCGATCGGTCTATCCTATACGCCCGTACTAATTTAATGCACCCTGTGTTACAAGCGGTGTAGGGCGTAAATACTTAAACAGGCTGGCCAATTATACACAAGATACCTATATATAGTTTAATTAATTTTATTTCCCTTCGAAATGTTGTCGTCAGTTTCATATAAATAAAAAATTAAGAAATTATTGCATTATTTTAATGATATGCATATGTAAGTGTAAGTTCTATTAAATACTATACACAGATAGATTAATGGTCATAAACGTTTATTCTTACTATTCTTACTATTATTATTATTATTATTTAAAATTCGATCGTTTCTTTCACCTTCTTACCTTCTTCCTGAACTTTCTATGAAAGTGTGTTCATAAATTGTATTATTTGCTAAATAGAACTGTGGCATAATAAAAACATACAAGTGCTATCTAGTCAATTGTAAACACATGTATGTATACATGTATGTAAGCGCATCACAATGAACTTAATAATAAATAATATCAAAATAAAAACAAGTGAACACACCGACAAATGCTGGAATATACATCGAAACGATTTTATCATATACGAAAATTATAGTACAGAACAATTACCACCACAAATATAGCAACAGTAGCAAACAGTAAGAGCTCTTTTAACGACAAATAAAACCAAATGAAACTATTAACATAGAGAAATATGTACAGAAATGCAGACATACAAATTCAGTTTTTTTTTTTTTTATACGAGGGCTGATTGATAAGATAGACAGCTCACGAGTGATTGCAATTTGCATTTAAAAATGACCGTTCAGACCAGATCCCTCCTCCCTCAAGGTATATATATATGGTGGACATAATCTTTAGAATTTGGTAAATAACGTAATATTGATAAAGTGCTTGGGATAACAAATGCCGCCAAATGGCAAATAAATATGAACAAACATTTTATTGGGAAATTCTTCAATTATGCCCACCTTTGAAGCGGGTTACGCCTTGAACAATGATTTAAAGCCATTAAATACAAACACAGACCCAACTATTCAGTTTCAGCTTTCTAATTCCATTTTTGCGTTTATAAAAGTTTTAACAGCGAGCAACTAGTCCGGCAGATATGATTTAATGATTATTTTTGCTACGTAAACTCGTAACAAATATAAAATGCAGTTCATACCCGCCGCTTCTTCTTCCAGTCAAATTATTATTATACGGCCCTCGTATGCATGCATAGAGCATTATAACAACTTATTAGACTAAGATCATATACAGAAATCAGTTTTGTTTCTATTATATTACACCGAGTTTACATAAACACAGCTACAACTTCGTATATGTATTCAAGTATAGGGTGACGTACTAAAAATATGACTAAACGAAATCTTTTGAAAGACAATCCAAATGATTAGATGGAATTCAATTAATAACTGGAAATTTTTGCTTAGCACAAAAACACAAAAATACGGGAGAAATTCCGACAAACTTAAATTAACATGAATTTTTCATTTTATTTATTTATACAGACAAAAAAAACATATTCGTTAAAACACTATCGCTCTACAGGTAATAGACGACACATGGGACTGTTGCGTAGAATTCATATGGCAAACATCGCAAAAGGTTGGCAATAAGGATATGGTCCAGTTTTTCATAGACTAAACTTAGTGTCAAGGTTGCTATTGGTGCCAAAAGAAGCAATGACGATGTAAAAACAAAATGTAAACGCAAATGTCTAAATATGCAATGACAATTTATTATTTATCTACCATTAACCAACACTGCTATGCTCTTTCGTTTTTTTCGCACATTTTCATTTGCATATTCTGCGCATATTATATTAGTCTAGTTACGGTTGTATGTTTGCTAAATCATCTGCGTTCATTTCATCGATATTTTTTATTTATTGCCAATTACAAATATAGTATAGTATAAGTTAGAATAGTCTATATATTAGAATCTTTCTTTGCGATAAGAAATGGTGTCAAACTTATATATATACATATATGTATATACATATATATATATATGCATATATATGTGCATATATATATCACCACCTCCCACCGATAATATTGTTTAACTTGTAAATTTTAGTGCATAGATTAGGGAATCGTTAATGGCCCGTGTATGTTTGCGCTGTATTTTTTACATCTATTTTCACCTTCCTCTTTTGCATACTTTTTTACTTCACTTTATTTTTGACGTTTTATTTATTTTATATGCAAATTAATTATTATAAAAATAATGATGCTGGCGAATGATGATTATGGACGGTGTCATCCGCATTTAATGCGTATAGGTGTGTGTAAAGCTCAGAAAAAGACGGTACAACGGTACCGACTAGGCTAATGGCACAAAAATTTTACTTTATTCTTTATTTCGCTTTTATAAAAAATTTTTATTGTCCACTTGTTTTTTCGTTCAAAACACTTACTCTCATCAATTGCTGTTGTTTCGCTTATATGAAAATTATAAACAATTAAAAGAATTGGTATAATCCCGATTGATATAGCACCGAGTTTCGCCATTTTATTTCAACTGAGTTGAAAGAAAGAAAATTTTAAAATCAAAGGAAAATTACTTCTAATAATTAGGGCTGCCAAGTTACGATTACAATTAAAATGAAGGCAAAAAGAAATTGTATTGATCGAATAACCTAATAATATACACAAATATTGAGAAAAAAAAACCTTTCCGATCAGAATTATAATTTGTGACATTATATTAGTAGGTTTATTTCACTTAAAAAAAACAAACAAGCATAATTAAGACGTAAAAAATGAAAAAAATTCTCTACATATCTTGCAATGAAATTATCTTTTCATCATCGTATAAGTCCTCCTAGTCTCTAATTGGAATATAATATGTAGCATATAACTTATATGTATTCACTGACTCTAAAATTAATATGGCCTTAAGTGTGTGTATATACATTCAAAAATTTATGAACTATTTAATTCCTAGAGTAGTAAAATTCCATGAATCATTCGATAGATTGGAAGTATACATTTGTATCATATCTGATTTGTTCCTCTTGCATGAGAAAAATTTTGTTATCTTGACGGGTATAGATATAAAACTATTATTCTTAACAAGAATTTTCACAGAAGCAAAATATCGTAACTATAAAAATATGCAATAATATATATATAATATGAAAAGAGAAATTAAATTTCACGTGAAAAAAGCCAGGGGTTTTTCAAAAAGTACAAAATTTCAATACATTCGAATTTTTTACATTACACATATCGCGTGGACAAAGTTCATTTGCGTATTTGATTACAAAATACTGTCTAGATCATATACTACTGAAACGAGGCTAGACGATGTCTTTCAAATGCGATATTTAGAATTATTTTTTGTATAATTTTTGAAATTTGTCCTTAAGTTACGTATTGTATTTTGTTTTCCAAATATGGGAAGCATGTTGTTTCTTATTATAAGTTATTCAATTAAAACGTAGATTGCAAATAAATCAAAACGTAATCTAAAAGCCTTACTTTTCTGATAAATGCATTCATATGTGTATGTATATAACTAGTATATAAAATAATACCGTAATAACTTACTTTCAGTTTGCTCCGCTTTTTAAAGCCTCGCTTTTACAGTGATTAATTATTTTATTTCGTGGAAATTCGTTAATTTTTAAAACTTTTTTTAACTATTGCATTTGTGAAATTTCCGTTATATATATAAAAAATTACACACTTGAATTATTACTATCAAATACAGTAAAAATAACGGCTTCATTTTAGTATAAAAATAATTATTTGGCAAAATGTCTTAGTTTCTTTGTTGAATGCAAAGTAATTTGATATTAACTCTCAGCTGGCAGTACTGTATGATTCAACTATAAGAAAAAGCGGCTGATATTTTTCTAGAAATTGAATATAGTAAAGGAACAATTTGATAATGACGGTAAATATTTTCGAAAAAATATTAATATTCGAATTAAAGGGTAATTGTTTTTTGGTTAGAACGATGGTTAAGGCAAATTCCGAAAGTTATAAATCTATTAATAAAAGCAAAATGAAAGCACCTGTTGCCGATGATAATCTTTAGAGTTGATAAGAATGGAGGACGAAACCGCAATAAAAATCTTCACAATTCATTCAATGAAGAGGAAAATATTAATGCAGAAACTAAACATGAGGAAAAACGCACATTGATAAAAGAGATTTTGGTTTCTGTCAATTCTAATCGCGTTATATTTGCTAATAAATTGTGAAAAACAAGTTATAACTGCGAGTGACACAATTATTATAGTCTTATTATGACGCGTCATCCTATTACATCCTTCGTTAGCATGTGAAATTCAGTTTTCTGGACGTTATGTTATGTTTAAGGAAATTGCTTGTAGTAAAAGTTTAGATGCCACATTTTAGATGTCAACTTTAATAAGAATGCAAGATTTAATTGTACATAAATACATATCTTTCCATGTGGGATTCTTTATAGTTTACAAACAGGTTGAATAATAGAATCAGTTCGTATTTTTGTGTACTATGGCAACACAGAAAAAACTCTCTTAACTATTCTATATTATTTTCGTTACCGCATTCAGGTACGCTGGCAACTTTACAAAAAATCTCGCCATTTTGTTTTGCAAATTTCACCACTTGGGTGCATAGAAAAATTTCGGACAAGGTTTTTCAAGAAGCACGAACAAAAAAAGTCATAAATAGACTTCTCAATCAATGCGATAAAATATATTTATAAAAAAATATTTGCCAATTTAAAGACATTTAAAATAACTCAAAGGCGTGTAAAATGTGATGGAAAATTAGAAAAATTGGACGGCATTTTAATTGCATACGACGGGTGTTGGGTGAAGAAAAAAAATTTGGTATATATGTATGTGTGTAGAAAAAATGTCTGCGCCTTTGGTGTGGTGAGAAGAACAAGTTACAGAAAAGTTTGTTATAATAAAAACAAATCGTCGGTTTGACGGTGGTATTTGATTGGTGTCGTAAGGAATCGTGTTGTTTTTCCAACTTCCCCGAGTTGATTGCATTTCTTCCGTTCATGTAAAGGGGATTCTTATTGAAAATTCAATAAAATTTGTGCAAATTTTAGGCGACAACAACACAAACCAGTGATTTGAAAAATAAATTACGGAATTACATGGTTGACAAATATATATTACCTACCTTCTCTCTACGGCGCATATGCCTGATTAAAGTAATGTAAGTTACATAAATAAATAGCCAAACATGTATCGCTGACTATAGTCCAGAGTACGATGAATAAAATGTGATCAAATGTTAAAAAATTTGTAATTGTATGCACATAAATAAAGAAAAACACGTCCAAGTGTCAGAAATGATAAATGAAATGGAGTCTCGACTAAGACGAGACGTTAAGTCTGATAGTGAAAAAGGCTATTGCCATCTAAGATGTGACGGATAACAAAAAAAATGAAAAGTGAAAATCTAATTAATATTAACGTGGGAATTATTTGAAAAAATGAAAACTACCGAAAAACAAAGGAAATTGATATGTGAAGAGCACTGATTTTCTCTCATTCATTTTTTGTAGTGTTTTCTAAAAGGGGAAGCGTAAAGCATTGCAAGTGTTTTTTTTTTTTTTTTTTTTTTTGATTCCACTTGCCTAATAAGATTTTACATGTTTTATTATAATCATATTTTATAATTAAAAACATAATAACGTCTTAGCGAACATCATATTAAATCCACAGTCATGAAGTTCTTCGTAAAATTTGGTAACACTATTTTCTTCTAATTCGAAACAGAAAGCAGAGATATATTTAATATAATAAGAAGAGAATGCAATCATGAGAGTATTGCACTTTGTAAAAAATTATGCAAAAAAGAGCATCGACACTTCGAAAAACGGCCGTGATTTTAACAAGTACAAGAATCTATTTCCCACCATAATTTTTTATGTTAGTACGAATTTATTGATTTTATTACAATTCCTAACAATAATTTTAAACCAAAACTTGAAAACTGTGTAATGAGAACTTTTTGTTTATTTCAACTGCAATTCTCTTGTTTGTGTTGGTCAGATGTACAATTATAAACAGATGTTGAGATATTTCAGTGTTTTTTTATTTTTTTTTTCTTTTTTTGTGAAATTTGTGTAAACAAACAATTGTTGAGAAACAGTTTGTGCTTTAGTATTTTTCGTTGTCAACAATACTTTCAAAATTTCTCAATCTCGTATTTCGGTTAAGAAAAAAGAATAAGATATTGAGAGAGATGCGTATAAAGATTGCCGGGACTCGTTGTTGCGTAAAAATATTGCCTGGATTTGTTGTTTCGTCCTCTTTAGGCGGCGTTTTATAGTTTTATGCAACACCTACGGAATTTTACATCGTTGTGCGCTAAATTTAAAGGCAAAATAATACGTTCTATGTTGAACATTACGGCATTTTACAACGCTTTTAAAACTTATTTTTAGTAAAAAAATTTAATATGAACCTGAAGATAGATTTTTAAAGGCAGGAAAGAAATCTTCTTTTTCGTTCTATCACATCATTTCCTCCTTAAATCAAATGCACTAAAGAAAATTATTATCTACTACTATTAAGAGTCTTTAAAATGACGTATCAAATGCATAAACATATTTGATTTAATTTATCCTCAAGTTTTCGAAAAGGAAGCTAAACCCGTTAGTCCTTCGTTAGATGATTGTAACTTCAAAGACATCATAATGCAAACTTTGTTCTACAAGGTATATTCACAGGCGTATCTCTCAATTTTGACTACCTACAATTTTGGCCAAACAAATTTTTGATTGTATCGCATTCGTCATCTTTACAGTGGCCGTTTCCCAATCAGCTTATCGTTTTCGCAAAAATAATTCAAATTTTATTTTAAATCATAATGCTTCCCAGGATGATAGAGCTCTAGCTATTGGCATCTCTTAATAACGAATATAATATATATATATATATATATGTATATGCGTTATGACTGGAATTGTTTTCTCAATTAAACTGCTTCACGGGGAATTTTGTATCTAAAATTGTGAAATTTTACAAAATTTTCAAGCAATCAATCTAGGTTCCTGTCTTTTAATTCCTTATGACACCAGAATTTTAAATGTATAAAAAACTAAAACGAAATCAGGATGAATACCTGTAACTTATATATTTCTTTTATATTTGTGCAGGTATCAATGAAGAATAAGCATCTTTTCGTCCTAAATACATAAAATTGAGATGGAGGAAATGGAGGAATGATTTGCAAATTTCTTGAAGAAAAGGGGTGAAAACTTCAAAATAATTTAACGGATAAATAGGTTTTAGAGTAGATGCGGTTCTGAAATTTCGTTCGCGATGGAAAGAGCTACATCTACAGTTAAAAAAAATTGTAGCCTTCAAATATTAATAGCGAATTCTCCTTTGCTTCGCGAGATTAAGGAAAATATCGTTTCAATATAAATACATGACGCCATTGTAACATGGTATGGAAGCGTAAGCGTCTACTTTTATAACTGCAACATAACATGTAATGCATTATTGTGCAAACACATGTTATGTGAAAACATAATTTGAAGAGAGGTCCAACATAACATACAGGCAAAAAAGTAATAGAAAATTGCGTAATCAAAATCAAAAAACCTAAACCTACTTTTTGGAATTAGGTTTGGATTTGAGTCCAGTGGCGTAATAAAAGAGGTCAGGAATTCCGAATTAAATTGTGGTTTGAAAAAATATAACTTAAACCAAACGCAAAGATGGACTTTCCTTGGTCTACGTATAATCGACTGACTCGAACCATCATCGACACTCACGCCTGCACTTGCAATCTTGTCCACAACATTTCTGCGCTTCTTGCTTTTAATAATAATGAACCACAAACCGTCTATCGCATTCTTTTTTCTCTTTTTTAAAAAGCATTAAGGCACAAGGGTTATATTGTTTTGAGGGGACAAGTTAATTTTGTGCAAAGGACGTGTCGTATGAAAAAAATCTCAGCGGTGACATCGTAGAAGTTCATCGCACATGTTTAAGAGAGAAGACATTCAATCCTTTCCGTTCAAGTATTATTTTAAAATAAATATAAAAATAATTTCCATTTCGCTGCAATCAATTGCGTTTTAGGAATTTATGTCCTCGGTGTATGAAGTTCATCTGATGTCCTGTTATTATCTGTGTTGCCTACAACAGCACAACATAGAATTAATGGTTACAATCCGATGTTTTTGTTTACTTTCTGCTCAAACGTCAAAACTGTCGCATCTGCAGCTTGAATATGTGATATGAAATGCGAGGCAAAACAGCTGTTGAAGCCAACAACAAAAAAATTCATTGAAAACTTTTTCAATTACTCTTGTTATACACACGCACACGCACTTACGAAACTTGTAAAATTGCAATAAAAAAAAAAAATTTTTTTTTTTGCATTTAATTTGAAAAGTGTTAAAAAATAATTACAAAAGAAAAAAAAAAAAGAATACATTAAGGAGTTTATTTGTGATATTTTAACTCGAAGACTATGCTCGATACGGACTCGGCGGCCGCACCCAAAAAAAAATAAATAAATAAAAAAACAAAAAAAAAAAAAAGAAACAAAATAAAATAAAATAAAGAAATATACTTAACTGTATGTTGTGGTAAAGGAAAAATCGAAAAATTCACGCAATAAACATTGATTCACACAATTTCGTGGTACCTTTTCACCCATTAAAGTACATTTGCAGTGACTGACTTACTGAGCTTGCCGAACATTATGAATGATAAATTAAGACAAGAATAACTTGTTTGTTCACATTTTTTTGAATAATGTTATAGTGTATATGTACCCATTTCTCTCGTTATCTCTTGTTTATTGTATTACGAGTTTAAAGGGTTGATTATAGTTTGCATTTAATTTATAATTTTAATTTTTTTTGTTTTTTTTTTTTGTTTTTTTTTTTTTTCAATTCTCAGGTGTGCCCCGCATATTCAAACAATTGCAGACGTTTAACAGAGAAGTGGTTAATATTTAAATGGCTGAGTTTTATGTATTTATAACACATTATAATTATGTACATTGGGAACGTAAAACTCGTTTATTATGAGGAACTAACCAAATGAAGCATTAATAACATTTTCGCGGACTATTTCTCAGAAAACAAACTACTGGGAAAGTTTTATTGGTCTTTTGGATACTCGCAGTACACGGTTAACTTAATTTCCAAGCAAACAAAACTAAGTTTATATTGCAACAAAAACTAAAAGAGAAAAAATAAAGTGCCAGAATCCCTTTTCCTCAACACGTTTGACGTTTAAATTGAAATCGATGATGGGAGATTTTTTTTTTTTTTTGTTTTGATGTTGTTGTAGAGTTCGATCAAGGTTTTATACTGACAAAATAAAATATAGATTTTAGTCAACTATATTTGTTCATAGTACTAACAATACTATATTCACGAGCAAATGGACGGGCCATTTAACAACACTTACGTCAACTTATTAACACTTTCATATTTAGTTTGTGCATAAATGCATCTGATTTTTTTTCCCTCTATATATACATATATATATATATATATATATATGCGGTTTGCTTAAAGAGAACGACGTACTTGTTTTAAATGTTTCCCAAAGTTTGAACACCTTCCATGCGAATGTTGTTCACATTAAAAGCTATGGAATGTGCATTAGCATTTCGTGCATATTTCCGAAAGAGAGTGGGAGAATGTCAGAACTAGATTTTGATATTAGTTAAAGAAGGACATTTTTTACAGTCAGATGAGGTCATTTTATCATTTTAACGGTGCTCTGTGACGATTTTTCTTCTTCAATTTAATCAATTTCAACAATGCACCGCATACGGTATATCTTCAGTTGCGCTTTAAGCGCAATGTGCATAGTTTCTATGTATCGTTATGTTATGATATCAAAAACAAAATTATACAAAATTATTTCTATTGAGTTGGAAAATTGGATTTTTTTACCAATTATATACATGTCGCTCAAGGGAACCTATAAAAACTGTAAAAACATTGGCTTAACGAGACATTACTATATTTATCTTAAACATTTGGATGCCGGTGTTAAATTTCACACACACAGATTTTTGGAAGCTTGTAATAAAAAAAGGAATTTGTAATTATTTCGTTAGAGTTTGTGGGAAAGTGCCTTTTAATGCCCGATCAGTGTCTTTAAGCGTTCTATGCATATTTTTATAAACCATGAGATTTTCAGTAAGAAACGAAGAATGAAAGTAATGAGGCATGCATGCAGCTATCTTTGTTTAGAATTTAATAGTAATCAGAAATTACTATTACTACTATAGTTACGCTATATAAACGCGTACATACTTATAAGCATACATGTATATGTGTAGATTTATTCCGTTGCGGTAGCTAAAGAAATCGCAAAGTACGCATTCTAATATCACTACTTTTGATTGCCTATGGTTCTTAGGTCTCTCTTCTTGGATTTTAATGTTCGTATAGAGGCACTCTTCCTAAATATTTAAATATGAATATAACTAGAAAATCGTTTTATCGATATTGATTCAATTTAATTAAATTATTACACTAGATATTAAAAAAAAAAAAAAAAAAAAAAAAAAAAGATTAGCGAAAACTCTTCCGGAAGAAACTTCTATTTACAATGAGAATAAAGTCGAGTCAAGTATGCAATTATTTTAAACGATAAACATAATACATTTCTATGAAAAGAAAAAAATATCTTATCTGTAATATTGAAGTGAATATTATTTCACTTCAAAGAAATGGGTTGACTTCAAATTCTCTGTAGGCTACGTCCATTCGATTTTCAAATTTTTTCTTTCTTTCCTGATACACATGTCCCCCAACATATTTATTATATATTGATATTAGTTTGTTTTTGACAGATATAAAGGTTACCATCTAGTTTGATTTCTTGCTATCGCAGAAAATGGATCATAGAATCTGTATTAAATTTTATGCGAAGAATAAAATGAATCGCTCCAACTCACTTAAAACGTTGTCTGTGGCGAGTTTACTTTAAGTAAAAAAAAAAAAAAAGGCTTATAAGTTGTACAAGCTTTTCACAGAAGGGTGAGAAGTTGTTAATGACGATGCCTGCTCTACGGGTCACAACAGCCCGTACACACACCACAATCGGCGTGGCGGTAAGGTTTGTTTCTGGATTGCTAAATTTTGACCAAAAGAACCCCGTCCCATTTTTTGATCAAAGAAATTCCCTACGAAAGAATGGAATTTTGCCACAATTAAGGAGATGAAGACCGCATCGCTGATCGGGATCAAGGCCAAACCATAAAAGTGCGCATAACAGAAGTGCGCTGACACAAGTGTACTATGTCTAAGGGGGATTACACTTTGGTGGGGACGAAATAGATATTGATGAATTGAATAAATATTTTAAGTTAATTTTTAAAACATAACTCGTTTGTGAAATAAATATGTACTTCTTGTATCTATACCCATAAGTGTTCACAAAATTATTACATACAGGAGAAGATCGACCTTTAAATAGCTTACGGAATATCATCTAAAACAGTTTTTCAGCTATTCCAACCATGATCAGATACTAAACCTTGCATATTTAATTCGTATATCAATTTATTGCTTGGAACGTCTTTATCAGTGAATACTAAAAATTAGAAACTGTTGCCACATAAAAGCTTATTTTTGATAAGGATATGAAGAAGTTTCAGTTAGGTATGCAAAAAATATTATTTTTCTGCACTGCTTCAATCCTCTCTGCTTACTTTATTTATTTATTATTATTATTATCATTATATCTCATTATTATAACTCATTAATAAAATTTATTAAATCCAATATATATGTAGTTCAAGATTAGCGGAGCATCTGCGGAGCCTCTGCGCAAAATAAGCGAAATAAATTTTCAAATGATGTAATAAACAAATAAATGATAAATGGTAAAAATCAAAATATGATAACACTTGTGGACTACAAGTCGGTTAATATTTTCATGCGTTACATCATAATAGTCGATTATGTAAAGTTCATCGAATCTGAATCAATTAAGGCAATATATTAATGCTTTACTTTGTGCAAAGTTTGAAGCTTTTTTTTTTTTTTTTTTGTCACTCAAGAAAGGCGTAGAGCGAACTTACATATATCCCCGTTTTACACTCACTGCTACAAGGTGGAGATATCGAAAATTTATTATTAAATTTAATCTGTGCCATCAAGGAACAACAAGCACAACAAAGAATGTATATCCTTGTAATAATTCATATAGGCACGTGCTGCTTCTATTGGAATAGAAGTTTAAAGCAGTTTTCTTTTCTTGTCTTTTTTTTTTCTTTGGATCCACTAATGAAAACTATGTTGTTGCTACTTGAAGAAAAATTCAAAAACAAAACATATTTTCATCTAAGATTTGATGAAAATTCCCTATGTATTATTTCATATACATTGGCATGTATATGTTTTCGGTACTCACTACGTTGATGTCAACAGGTTAGAGGCAAATATTGAAATATATGCAAGAATAATAGCGACGTCAATTTGTCAGAAGTCAGTTAGTTGATCGGTTATAATATATGATATATATATATATTTTTTTTTGTGGACGTTACTCTCTAAGAGTTTTCTAAGAATTTTATAAGATTTTGAGTGGATAGAATACGATCTAGTCGCGAAATGTGTGTTTAATTTTCATTAAATGTTGCGTATAAAGAGTGTGTGTATGTATGCTTGCCAGAATTCATAGCATCTGATATTATTCTCGTTTTTCAGGGTATCTACTGCCAGTTGGGCTTGAGTTGTCATTTTTGTTTTGGCATCATAACATACAATTAAGTACTAAAGAGGTAAATAATATGAGCCATGCCTTCGGCACGACCTGGTAGTCTTAAAGATCCGGAAATTGCCGAACTCTTTAATAAACATGATCCGGAAAAAATATTCGAAGATTTACGAGAAATCGGCCATGGCTCTTTTGGTGCCGTTTATTATGCACGCTGCAATCTTACCAAAGAAATAGTGGCCATTAAGAAAATGTCCTATACGGGCAAACAGAGTTTGGAAAAGTGGCAAGATATACTCAAAGAAATTAGGTATTAACGATAATTATTTATTTATTTTTTATTTTTTTGTATTAGCCAAGTTGTAATGTAATAAACACATATTCATTCATATATGTTATGCGCTTCTCTTGATTTGCAGATTTCTACGTCAGTTGAATCATCCGAATACCATCGAATATAAGGGTTGTTATCTACGCGAATCTACAGCATGGCTGGTTATGGAATACTGTGTGGGATCGGCATCTGATATTATTGAGGTGCATAAGAAACCATTGCATGAGGATGAAATTGCGGCGATATGCGACGGTGTTCTAAATGGTCTCAGCTATTTGCATAGCTTAGGTCGTATACATCGCGACATTAAGGCTGGAAACATATTGCTTACCGATAATGGTGTAGTTAAACTTGCTGATTTTGGTAGTGCGGCTATTAAATGTCCGGCAAATAGCTTTGTGGGCACTCCGTATTGGATGGCGCCAGAAGTCATTTTGGCAATGGATGAAGGGCAATATGACGGCAAAGTGGATGTCTGGTCTTTAGGTATAACTTGCATTGAATTAGCTGAACGCAAACCACCATACTTTAATATGAATGCCATGTCAGCATTATATCATATTGCCCAAAATGATTCACCTACACTACCGGTATAAACAAATTAATATTTTCGCTTCTTTACATCATGTTTTTAATTTTTATTTTTATTTTTTTTTTAGAAAAATGACTGGTCAGATATCTTTTGTTATTTTGTGGATTTGTGTCTCAAAAAGAATCCGCTTGATCGGCCTTCATCTTCCAAACTATTAGCAGATCCTTATATAACGCGGCATCGTTCAGATACGGTTCTGCTGGAGCTAATCGCTCGTACCAAAGCGGCTGTTAGGGAATTGGATAACCTCAATTATCGTAAAATGAAGAAAATCCTTATGGTAGACACCTGCGAGACTGAGAGCGCCATCGGTGACACAGATGACACTCAAGACGAACATGCCGGTGGCGATAGCAGCAAGAGTAATAGTATTACGTCGGAACACTCCATACATTCAGTGGGTGTATCGGCGGCCAGTAGTCAAGTAGTACATAATACCCTATCCCCTGCAAGATGGTACAAAGTCTGCCACTAATCAATTACTTATTTCTATATTTTATAAATCTAGAGCTCATCGTCAAATTCAATACCACCCGCCGCGCAGAATTACATTGGCGGAATGGGTGGTGGCGGTCATCACGGACACGGACAGCCGCCTCAACATTTGGGTGCCATCAATTATCATCATCATCATCAGATGCAGCAACAGCAGCAGCAGCAGCAACAACAACAGCAGCAGCAGCATCAACATGTAATAAGTGGCGCTGTTTCGCGTAACTCTTCGCGCCATCGTAACTTGCCGCCATTACCGAGCATCATGCATAATATGAATAATAATGTAACGCCGACAAATTCGACGGCAGTTGTGCCTGCACCGATGCCACCACAGCAACAACTACAACAGACTATGATGTCAGCGTTGTCGCATAATTCTGGCTCAATGAGCAGCAGTGGCGGTAATATGCAACAACAACATCAACAATCTTCTTGCCCGGGTGGCGGCATGGGCGGAGATCGTATTTCACAACAACAACAACAGCAACCGCCACCTATACAGCCAAGATATCTATCCTCACCAGCTGCTGCAGCGGCTGTCTACGCAGCCACTTCCAATGTTAACGAACATGGACCCAACAATTTTGCCACAATACGTACTACCAGTATAGTTACCAAACAACAAAAGGAACATATGCAGGTAGACAGTTATCAGTCATAATTCATCATTTAAATCAATTACAAGATTATATGTCTTCTCGTATATCAATCTTGTCATTGAAGTAACACTTTTCTTTTGTTTTTGCTTTATTATTATATAAAAAAAGAATTTGAGCTTTTCCCCCCTCCCATTTATTTATTTATTTATTTATTTTATTTTATTTTTTTTTTTATATATATATATGATCTTCTGTCCTATGAAATTATTTCGGATATATTTTCATCATTGCCTGTATTATTGTTATATATTTGTGTCCATATAGGAAAACTATGTGTTGTGTCCTACAATGTGCGGCAACAGTAGTAATTGTACGATTTCATAGCCTAGAAAGAAACAAAATAATATCAAATTATTATCCATGGATTCAAAGGATGCAAAAACAATAAGCATTTTAGACCACCATCATCACTACCAACACAACACCGCCAATACATTATTTCTTTATCTCTTATTCTATTGTCTCTCTGTTATGTTTCGTCATCGTACAACAAGCGAGCTTTCCATAATGTAGTTTTAAAATTGATAAACTATCAAGAGCGTGTAACGTGTAACGTGTAACGTGTTCGTGTTCATTTTCGATGATGTGCAGATATATGGGCAAATAATAATTTGTGACACACTTGAACACGTTTAGAGATTGGAAGACGTAAACAAAGTAATTTCTTATTACATTATTGTAATTCTTTTATTTTTTTTTTTTTTTTTTTTTTTTTTTTTTTTAATTGTGCATTTTGTTAATTTTCTTCAACAATCAATCAATCAATCAAACAAACAATCAATCGTTCGCTATTCGTTTTCATATGGGAAATACTCATGGAAAATCAATTCCATTCGAACATATGTACATTCATTTGAATGCCTATCCATTGTGTTCCAAATATGTTGAGAGTATGTTGTCTACTTTGTTTTTATTGCCTTTGTTAATATTGTGTGATACATACATACATACATACATACA